GGGGGTATTAAAGGAACCTGTAGCGAGAGCAGAGGCGGCACTTTAATTAGGCAAGTTAGGCCTCGCAGCCGCCTAACTCGCCCAGTCTAAAGCAGGGGTAGGCAGGACTGGCGCTGTGGGGGTGGGGGACGACATTCTGCATTAGAGTGTAAGCTCCTCTGTACAGAGACTGATGTGACTGGCTCAGTGTTCTCTTTACAGTACTGCGGTATATGTCAGAGCTATATAAATGTATAATAATAGTGTGTGACTGTGGGTTGACATTAGAGTGTGAGCTCCTCTGGTGGGTTGGGGGGGGGGCAGGCCCCCCCGGGCGCCTAAGATAAAATCTTGCACCAGGGCCCTTTATTCCTTAGGTCCACCACTGCGACCAGAAATGCTGCCAACTCACCACCATTCTGTGCCCCAGCGGCCGCATGTAGGTCCTGCAACTCTGCACACCTTACATGCTGCGCGACAGGCTATCTAATCCCCCTGCTGTGCCTGCATGTGGATTCAGGTGTCTCTCCTCCATCTCTCTCCTGGCTGTCTCTCCTTGCTCTCTCCTGGCTGTCTCCCCCTCACTCTCTCTCCTGGCTGACTCTCTCCTCTCTCTCCTGGCTGACTCTCTCTCTCCTGGCTGTCTCTACTTGCTCTCTCTCCTCTCTCTCCTGGCTGACTCTCTCCTCTCTCTCCTGGCTGACTCTCTCTCTCCTGGCTGTCTCTCCTTGCTCTCTCCTGGCTGTCTCCCCCTCACTCTCTCTCCTCTCTCTCCTGGCTGACTCTCTCCTCTCTCTCTCTCCTGGCTGGCTCTCTCCTCTCTCTCCTGGCTGACTCTCTCCCCTCGCTCTCTCTCCTGGCTGTCTCCCCTCACTCTGCCATCACTTATCATCACAGTTCAGTTTAAATTTTTTAATTATGGGTATAAGTGGGAGGGGCCTCACATTTGGGTTTTGCCTAAGGCCTCACGAAGTCTAGAGCCGCCTCTGACCGAGAGAGATACCGGGCTACAAATTCTGTGTCTGTCTAGAAAAGTGTCTGTGTAGAAAAATAGTCGTTCTTCTCCTGTATGCCGGGTGTCATTCTCAGTATCTGTTCTTATTCTGTATGTATGGACTCTGCACAGTACCACTACCCTTGTCCTGTATGCCGGGTGTCATTCTCAGTATCTGTTCCTATTCTGTATGTATGGAATCTGCACAGTACCACTTCCCTTGTCCTGTATGCCGGGTGTCATTCTCAGTATCTGTTCCTATTCTGTATGTATGGACTCTGCACAGTGCCACTTCTCTTGTCCTGTACGCCGGGTGTCATTCTCGGTATCTGTTCTTATTCTGTAGGTATGGACTCTGCACAGTACCACTTCTCTTGTCCTGTATAGTTAATATTCTCTCTTATTCATGTTCGTTTTAGCCTCTGGTAATGAGAAGCCGAGCTGAGAACTATGGTAGAGAGAATACAAAATCCTCCACCCGTAATACTAAATATCATTGACTGGAATATTCTTTACTTTCATTTATCATACACCACACAGGAGCCGGGTATATCAAACATGGGGGTTTATTGGGTAATAATGTACATGTGGTGCATACAGTGGTTCCATAATGGGGATCAGTGTGATAATTCTCCTCTTGTCTCAGGCAGAGGGGACGACTGCTATGTGTGGGCGCGCGCCGAAATCTGTATAGCCACAATGACGATGATCAAGATGATGCCCAGGACCAAAGCCGCGATGTTCAGGTAGAGTGACGTGCGGGAGTGTTTCTCGGCTGTATCCGCATCGTTTTGATTGTTAGCGTCGCGTGACTGAAAAAGAAAAATATGGAGTTCATTAGCGTCAGAGAGAAACTTTCCTGTCCTGTCGTTAGATGTCAGAGGAGAGGAACCTCCTAATTTCCTGTATTCATACAGTGCCAGGGTATTATACAGAGAAGGAGCTACAATGGCATGTCCCTACTTCCTTCTCCCGCTTTCTTTCATTTCCTTTTTCTCTCTCTGTTTCTTCCTTCTTTTTCCCCCGAGTCCTGGTGCACAGACAGTAGGGTAAGTCTATAACAAATTAGAAGCACTGGTGGCAGCAAGCCAAGTAGCGGACCAGCAGACACGGACCCCCAAGGGACGGCTCACCCCTCCTGACCTCACCGGGCCACTCTCTGCCCTGGACCACATAACAGCCACATGTACAGCCATGGCAGTTGTTCCAACACCGAGTTCCGAATGGAATCCCAAATGTGTGCTGTGATTGCGCACTGGGCCCCTTCCTCCTTGGGACCCATGTGAACTGCTCAGCATGCACACATTAGGGATTTGGAAGCATTATTTCCTTGTTTAAGTAATAGATATGTATATTGGAGAACATATTTTATTGATATTAAATGATGTTGTTGAGTTCAAGTATGGGGGGTAGTGTGGAGTTTCACTTATTTATTGCATGAAAGTAGGTGATTTTTTTGGGGAGTTCCCCCACCAGCAACAGATTTGCTAGTGTGACCAGAGCCTAAGAAAGGAAACTAACCGGACCCGACCTGACCCTTCCCTACTCTATTCGGAACAAAAAATTAAAAAAAATGTCCAGAGAAACACCTTAAAGGACAACTACGGGGTCAGTTTTTTTCCCCATAGTTCTCCTAAGGGTCACGGGAGGACACAAACTAGCGTCCTCCCGTCACCCAAAGCTCAGTATACCGCGAGCTACAGCTCTCTGTATACTGCGACCGCCGCAGCCGGGACGGAACCCGAGATTACTGTCGAGATCCACTCAGCTGTGTGATAGACAGCTGGCTCTGCCTATCTAGAGGCAGAGCTAGCTGTAAACGACCCTCCCCCGTCCGTTCTGCCAGTCAGCGCTGTAGGATCGGAGCAGGGAGGGAGGTGGAATCCCTGCAGGGAGCCGTGAGTGACGGTCACGGCGCTCTGCAGGGACATGATCGAGAGGTGAGCGAACGCCGGTATGTGTTCCCTCACTTCCCGATCTATTGAGCCGACCTGTGACAGTCTCATTGTCACACGTCGCCTCGAACTATGAGGATGAATGATTTTCACTCGCCTCATAGTTCTCCTTTAAATCATTCTTTTCTCTAATAAATATGGGGGGATGGGATCCATATAAACGGACAATCTATGTCAGCCGTGACGGTTCTCATAAACGTAAGCTATTCATTTTTTTTCGGTTAACCTTCACAAATACGATTGTCACAGACTGGAGAAAATGTCTTTCAGCCAAAAGGTTACATCGGGCATTGCGCTCATTGTTGATGGAGGGGACGGCGGTAAAGATTGGCGGAGCCTTTTTCACGTAGACCCGAGACCCCGCGCCAGGTTTAGTTGGCGCTGCCCTGGAGGAGCCTTGGGCCGGGATCAATCGTCGGGGCGGTTCTCTAGAATAGTGGCTGGCATGTAAACAAACATCCTGCTTTTGTTACACGGCATGGAAACATTTGAGAAACGAGCAGCGTTTTTATTTTTGTCTGCGCTCGGGGGAACGCTGCTGTTATTTTTATGAAATGCAGGATGTCATAAATGTAACTCGTAGCATATGTTTATAATGTTGTTGTCACTGCCAGACCAAGGGGGAAAAAAGGCTTAAAGAGACCCTGTCACCAGGTGCGTAACTAGAAATCATAGGGCCCCATAGCAAAATTTTGTATGGGGCCCTGTGATTGCTAGTTATGCCACTAGCAGAGCCCACCGGAGAGTGACCCTGCAGAGCCCACCATAGACTCTCTATAGTGGGCTCTGCAGGGTCTGAGATCTCTTACCTGTCAGCGCTGTCCTCCTCTGTGGTCGCCGGGCCCCGACCCCTGTTCCGTCCCCGTGCCCCGACTCCTCTGCTATCGACGGGCCCCGCTGTCTGCTTCCAACACATCAAGTTCAATGGCAAAATGTTCACTTGCTGCCTAATATATCCCTCCCCCCCCACTTCCAGGTGTCATTGGAATATATCCCCCCACTTCCAGGTGCCATTGTAATATATCCCCCCTCTTCCAGGTGTCATTATAATATATCCCCCCCCACTTCCAGGTGCCATTGTGATATATCCCCCCCACTTCCAGGTGTCATTGT